AGTTTTTTATTTTTATTCGTTTTATACGTAGACAATATCGATCGCTATAATTATTAGACACATGATACTTGAAAAACAGATTATCGGCATCGTCTTTTCTACGTGTTGATGTATGTATTTATATGTATTAAGTGTATTTCATTTGTAACTTTGTAATTATTTATTTTTTTAAAGTGCATGCAAATTTTTTTGTTAGTTTTTATGATACTGTAATGAATCTCTTTTTTTTCTTCTTGCATATTATTTCTGTTGTGAATACATACAGTATTGGGTCATGAGAAATTGATTATTTATTTTAGTTCTGTTGTTTTACAATGATATCATATTGTATACTTCATGTAAACATATAATACTATAGGTTCTGTGATTTGCCTCTCCAATGTATTTTTTATTTTACCATAAACGATCGCTTTTAATATGAATAATTGGATATCATTTATTCAACAGCTCTAATAGGCTATTTTCGCAAGGTATACAGTTTCTTAAGCATTTTGTTATTTTACTTTTTTCATCGATTTTATCTTGTCTCTTATTTTTGCACTATTTTGTTTTTTGGGGTTTAGATTTTATTTGATTTTTTGTTGATTTGAATCTTCTTATTTATTTGAGTCGAGATTCATTTGATTCACCGTTTATTGCAATGAATCAGGTTTACACATTATTTTACGACACGTTTTAAAATTTTTTTGTTTCGTACTTTGTTCTCCTTGCATCATTATTGAGTTTCTATACGCGAATCCTTCAGTCAATTTTTTATTATCGATAGATTCATTGCTCGTACAACGAGAGAATTCTGCTTGAAAATTCATGGGGATCGATATAGAAAGCATCAAGCGAATAACGCAATATACAGCCTACCGGATTGTTTAATTATTTAGATTTCTGAATACAAAACTACTTTAAAGGAAATTGATCTATGTTACTTGAAAAATTGTAAATAATTTGAAACGATCGGATAAACCCGACATGCTAGACTCATCATAGGAGAATCTCTCTCTCTCTCTCTCTCTCTCTCTCTCTCTTTCTTTCTCTTTGTCTCTATTTACTTTATTTTTAAAAATTAATAGTATCATCGGATTTCAGGTCAACTCCAAAGCTTCAATTGGTCAACATTCTCGTTATAGTCACGTCACGTTTGACAATATTTTAAGTGGTATCTTGCACAACATACAAGAACCTGAGACAACGCGATTGGCGCTTCGGTCGTTAACAGATTTCTCTCTTTCTACCATCTTCCCTCTGCATCTCTTCTCAATTTAATATGCTCCTTCTTTTTTATTGTATTTTGTTTTTTTAATAATAGCAGGTACTAGCATAGCTACCACAGTCGTACGTATCGTTTATTAGTTTAGAATTTTTGTTAATAAAATATTAAACTATAAGGTTACTGGTTGGACTTTTATTTAATTTTCATTTTTATATCTAATAAGTTTTTCCATTTGCCCTTGCATTTCTATCGCACGGCTCGCTTACTGGGATGCGGAATCGCGAATCACGTATTCGAAACAGAAATCGGCAGTGTCTGCTCTTCCTCCTTGTTACGCAACTTATTAACATACATTCCAAAACACTTTTTTCCTTTATATTTTTTATCTAAATACATTATAATCACGACTAGACGATGTGTTAGTTTCAAACGTATAAAAATGCTCTTAAAAATATATAAAAAGTATAAAAATAGAATATATTTTTTTCTTAGTAATTAAATATAAAAAAGTGTGATCTTTAATAAAACAATTAATTTTAATAAAAAGACACATATTCTTAAGCAACGAACTCGTGTTGGAAATTTTAAAATGCTGTCTATGGATGTGTGCGTATGCGTGTGCGCGTGCGCGTATGTATAGGTTGTGAGTGCACTGGTACATGAATTTGTACATGCACGTGTAGGACGATGAGCGAGATCGAAAAGCACTGCCGTGCTAATAATTTCGCATCCCAGTTAGCAACACCAACTATCGTCCCTTTGCATCGGAAAGGCACTCGTGCGATTTCACGGCGGTACGATGACGCAGCCTTCCGTCAATTTCGCAAGGATTTGCCGAAGCGGCCGCGACTCGAATTTCGCGCTGTTCCTCGTGTCCTTCAGGTTCGATACCAACGTGGTGTTGTCACAATGTGTGGTGCGTCCCTGGCAACGACTTTCTTCTCATTTATATGCAGACGTAATGGTAATTATCTAACGAAATCGTAGATGTTCGATTGAAGACGAATTGCGAGAGGGTAAGGAGGGAAGGAGGAAATTTTCGCTCATTTGTAAATTCCTAAAAAATGAATAATTGCGAATAAATTTGGAGGGGCAGATTCTGGCAATCTCGCAATTCGAGGGCAATTAAATAATGAAGAATCGAGTCGCTTAAGATAACGGATAAGCTTATTGGCGAACCGAGAAATATGGTGTATTACATTTTGCAATCTTGGTCTTTTCTTTTATGCGATTACTAGCTGCTGAAACTTACATAGCTAGCTTTAAAAATCCCATTTCTCGACCATTATTATTGGCTCACATTTAGTCGGTGCTTGACTCCTGTATAACTAGATCTATATAACCCGTTACCCATTCAATGTGTTTTTATACATTCGAGCAGTAACCTCAACTTTTATTACTACGCAATCCATTTACTGACGTACAATTTGTTTTAGTAACTCTGTTTTATACTGAATTATGTGGCTCATTCTATCAAGCAGATTAGGCTTCCCGTTTTTGTTTCCTGCGATAAGAATGCGGATTGAAGCTATGTAAAATGTTTTTGGCGAAATCATGAGTTATTAATATTATTCTTTTAATTCCAAAAGAGAAAAAATATTTAAAATAAAGCTGTTTGATAGGTTCCAAAATTTTTCCTGTTTATCGAATATTATGTCAGAAATTAAAATAGCAGGATTTTGGAAGAAAATTGAAAGATTAATGATTATTCAATAATTATCAGTAGTTCCATGTTCCATGCAATCAGATAAAGGGATAAGAAGATCAAGGGTGGAACAAGGTACAACAGTGTCATTTACACCGCTAACGAATACGCTTTATCTCTTCTTTTTGTTATCACTCATAATTGTTTTTATACCTCTCCCTTTCTTTTTCTCTACATCTACTGCATTTATTATAAAAATAAAATGTTAATGTCATTACTGAATAATGACTTTTGACGATATCGCAAAAATCATCATCACGACAACGAATCATCCACGACGACGCAAGATGTGGGATTCTTCGCGTTTTTGTAATTTTCGTATCAGGAGAGGAATAGCTACTCCGTACAAAATGAGCACGACTTGATATCTCACAATTATAATTTACATAGGCTCTACAAGGTATATTCTCGTTTACTCCTTTCGCCGAACTATTTGTCAGTGAAAAAATAAATCATTACACTTCGACGATTCATATACTAATCATCTTTGCCATGTGTATTATCTTTAAATTTTCATTCCTTTTATTTTTCTATTAACCATTCATTATGTGTTTGCTATTTCCTCTCTTATTTTGCAAAATTTTTTCTAAGTTTATTTATTTATTTTTATTTTACTAATCGCTTACACGCATATCTCATTCAACAATATCAATGATGTGGGCTATTTTTTTAATCCAGTAAATTTCTTTCACTTATTTTTAGTTTTGCTTTCTAATTTTTAATATTTTGTCTTTGACAATTTAACAACTTACATTTTTGCATACTTACACGCTCGCATGCAGTCTCGCACACATACGTACACGCGCATGCAAGAACGTATATGTATCACACTATCGATATACTCATTCCACGAATTCTTTCTCATATCGCTCGTTCAATAATAGATCGATTGAGTCAAAATAATAAACCTTGTTACGTTTCGTAGCCCGTAAATACACGCATTTAATATTCTGGAGCTTTACGTTCATACTCGTCTCGTATTTTGGTTTTAAGTAATTTTTTTCGATTCTCTCAATTTCTCGTTTTTTCTTTTTATTGCTTTATCACGTTGTTCTCCTTTTCATATTTCATTCATATTTTTTTGCAATATACCTATAGTATTAAATTCATATATATATATATATATATATATATATATGTATGTATGTATGAATTTAATACTATATATATATATATATATCTGACCTCTTTCTCCATCGAGCTACTTCGCGTAATCGTGGAAATATTCTTTATCTAGAGTTTATGCACCGCTAACAGCTTTTTTCGGTTTCATTCTTCACTCGTCATTTTTACATTGGTTTTCAAGGCGAATCAACCGATCGCTCTCGTGAAATCAAGTACTCGTTTTTTTTTTTAAAATGTTCATTGTGAGATATATGCAATAAAATTGTCGTGGAAAAATGCAACTTCTGAGATTTTTTATGCACTCAGAAAATGCTGTCTAATAGAATGTCCTATATTAAAAGATAGTATAGAAGGAATTCGTCTCAAATTACTAGAAGACTTTAGTTTAAAGGAACTGAAGTGACTCAAAAGAATCATTTATCTGAATACGAAAACCGATTATTTCTATCTTAGGTTAAGCGTCCAAACCAGACCTAGAAATTCGCTAGTTAGTGATTGACCAAGCAATTGTGTATATATTGCGATGATTGACTAACCCGATTTCCCATTATCAAATATTAAATACTTATATTCCACTTAAAGGAAACCATAATATTATTAATATCATTAACAAACATTAATAAAAATGTTTATCGCAGCACTTGTTTACGAGAACGTTCAGTAACTTGATTCGTAATGAAAAATCATGCACGAAACTTTTCTTTCCTCTTCAAGTAAGTAAAGTTGGTGAAAATTATCTAAGTAATGCAATGTATTTGAAGTCGTCATAGAGTCTCGAAGAAGAGCAGCAGTACATGGTAATGGTATCTTTATAGCTTGGCCAATGCGATATTTTTTATCTTGAATACTCGAAACATTGAAATGGAATATATTTGTTTTTCTTGTTCTCTATTTTGCGCACGCACGCACGCACGCACGCACGCACGCACGCACGCGCACACACACACACGCGCGCGCGCACCCACGTGGGTACTTGTGCCTGCAAAAATTGCAAGTATTTATGGATTATATAGTCTCATAATATAGCCAGAAGGGTATGGGACCAAAAATTGCCTATTTAATTTGAAAGCGGTAATATGGTAGCTTCTGTACGTAACCTACAAGAATTTCTATAACAAGAGGAAAAGCGAAACTGTAATGAGACGATCAAGTGAAATAGAATGTTATTTATCAAGCTTGTGCATGTGTATCATTCAGTATATATTGGATGGTCAATTTGCTCAATTTCTTTTTTTCGAATCGTTATTATCATGCAACGAATGACGATTTGAGTTCGGACAAGCCTGCACTGGCGATGTTGGAAATTGTACCGTATTAATTCGCCACCAATAGGTGTTGATAATTATTAGCTGGATAAGGCGCCACCGAACCCAATCCGAAGTTGTTTAGGCCATCGACCAATGCAGCTTTATCAGTCTGTTGCTGTTGCGTTGTAGTTGCTGAGGCTGTTCCATTGGTGGCTCCTGCGGCAGCCGAGGTGGAGCCGATTGGACCAAGAGTGGCAGCACCGTTTTGCGTTGCACTGTTGCTATTGGTATTCACACCGCCATAAAATTGATGTCCAATTGTATTGGGATCAAGATAAGAGGAGGGAAACTTAGCGCCGGTGTAGAGATCAGTGGCAGCTGCGGCTGCCGCTGCGGCAAGATAACCGCCATGCGTGCCGGTCGAATCGAAGATGCCCCGGTGTGGGAACTGCGGATGGTACGTTGGTGGTGGCGCTTGGTGAAAGAAGTAAGCGCTCGAGTCGGTTGTAGTAGCTGATGTTGGATGTTGGTTGTGACCGTTTACAGTAGCAAGTCCTGGTGACAAGCTACGGCTGTTAGATGAATTTTGGGAGACGGAGAGACCCCCGGAATTTTGTAACCCTTGAGCTCCCGATTGTTGATGTTGCTGCTGCTGGTGGTGATGATGATGGTGGATTTGCTGTTGCATAGCTCGTTGTTTTATGTAGTTTGAAAACTCGGTGGGCGACATCCTAGATCAGAAATAGGAGGTGAAAGTTAGTAACGTCTATATCCGATTTGATGATAATAGGGTCAGAAGATTGAACCTAAAATATGGTTATATATGTAATTTTAACTTCCTGATTGTTGATAAATAGTTCAAGTTTATCTGCATCAAGAGTAATAAACTCATTATTAAGTAGTTTGATTAATCGTCGTTAGTATAGATATAGTGTTGTCTCAGACTTAGTTAATCTTCATTTTTAACATCATTAACATCACAGTACTCCAAATTCTATTATTGTATAAATTTTACTATATTTTATTATCTATTTTTATCTATTACTATATAAATTTGATTAGTAGTTGTGAGTTTTACATACTACCTAATATCTTCTAAATAATAAGAAATAAAAGATAAAATACTTCCAGTTAAAAATATAGTAAAGGTGAGTATAAAGCCAAATTAATTAACACAGCTAATTCAAATTCACTACTTAATAAATGAATTTTATACATCACTAAATTTTACTTTCATTTTCCGATAAAGATTAGTAACATGTTATTTGAAATATTAGTATATATTTATATATACATATATCCAAGTATATATATATATATATATCCAAGTATCGATGTAAATATAGACAATAAGATATCTAATGTCTGTACTTTATGTAAGTTGCATAAAAAATGTAAATATTCAATAATTATCCTTCAATAATAACACCAATTAACATTACTCTTAGTTTATATATTTTTCCACGTGTGTGTGTGTGTGTGTGTGTGTGTTTGTGTATGTATATATATATATATATATATCGAATAGTGAAATATTTCAAATTGACATATAATTAGACATTGTCAACATTTTATACATGCGTTAATTATCTTTGGAATGTGTTTAATTATGTATTACTTTTATTAAATTGCTATTTAAAATTTTGACACGATTAAAAAAATATATGCTTTAAGTGAATCGCATATTCAAAAAAGTACTTTAAACAAGTGATAACAATATTTTCTATTTTGGTACGGAATTAAATTTTATTGTAATGAACAAACTATATACACTTAGTATAAATGATTAAATACGAATATAGATAAAGGAAAATGACTTTGGTTAATTAGAATTCTTGACTAACATGCTTGATAATAAAAGTTATCTAAGACTTAGAACTTTCTTAAGAGCGCCTACATTGCTGAACGAAGTAGCTTGGTACCTGTTAGCTCTCTTGCTGCTAGTCTTGAGCTTAGTGCTGCCAAACTTGGTCTGAGCGAATGTAGCCGTGGTGAAAGTTAGCGGAGCTGTAGACCTTGGTATAAAAGCTGGGACAGGACTGGGTGAGCCCTTGAAGGAGTTCGTGAGTGGCGTAGGCGAGGGCGCTGATGAGGAGCCGGAGCCGTGGCCGTTTTGTTGATTGCAGGTGCCAGATCCATTGCTTGCGTTGCTGGCCATGGAATTGGGAAATGGTGAGGTCGACTTGGGACTGAGACTGAGGCCGCTCAACGACGTACCCACTACCTCGATCGGACGAAAGCATTGGGCTTCGGGGTTAAAGGTTTTAGTGACCTCGCGGTCGGCCGATGACTCGTCATGCGGATCCGCGCTCTCGGAGTAGAGGATCTTCACTTGACTGGTTTCGCCGATACGATAGCTGACCTCACCTGGGTCAACCCAAACGGCGAGCTCGGACGGCAAATTCTCCAGAATATCTTGAATGGGTACTCCGCTCTCTTTAGCTGCACGCTCGAGCACCGGGTCGACGGGATCACCGGTTTTTAAACATCGAAAGGCGGAGCCCTTGAATGGTTTCTCCGGATACCAGTGACCTTTGAACTTATCCTTGAGGGCCTTCTCGAGCTCTTCGCCAAATATATTAACACGTCGCCTTGGCAGCTTGTTATACAGGTACGATATGACGAAGTTTAGCGCCACCTGCACCTCAATGTGCATCTTGGGCTTGGATAATAGAATTTTCGATCTGGCGAAGCAAACGAATGGTGTGTTAAGTTGGTAACGACGCGAACGGCCGTTTTGACTTGCGATTGTGTTTGTTATGGTTGGGCCTTTGGAGCGTTATCGCTCGATACTTGATTACATTACTTGGAGCTGGTATCTTTTGAAACCAGATAAGAGATCGACGATGGTACGTGCCGACGTTAAATCTGAAACAAAAAGTTGAGACAAAAATTTTATAATTTATATTTTTACTTGATCTAAATTTTATATTGTGTTTCTTTATTACATTTCATCATTAATAAAAATTCGTCACAGCTTTCATAATTGTTTATAATTAATTTCTAACTGAATTTATACTCAAATTATATTCTGTGTTTGTATAAATTATTATCCATCTGAATTTTTGTCATCAAATATCTGCATTCATATATATGAACTCAATTAGTTCTTGTTTTCATCACGATAGCTAGAATTTCCTCCTTATCCAGATAATATATATTTCACTATATTAAGCAGGATAACAATGAAAACAATTATGCTTTACAAAGAAAATTTTAACATGACACAGTAAAGTTATAAGTGGACTACCAGTCTATTTATATCCACATGAGAATGAGTTCTTAATATTTTTATGGGGAAATGAATAATCTTAAAGATAATGAAACGAAAAAAACTGTTTTCAATTAGCTACGTATCTGATACGCATTTTTTTTAGTGAAATAAACATGAACAAGCACGATATTATCTGATTTATACATTTTTGCAACAAAACAATTATCGTGAAGAAAATAGATTTTCTCGCGACGCATAAAAATACACATTGTAGAAAGATAAGAATCATAACAATGATTTCATTGTATTTAATCATTTTGATAAAAAGCTAACAATAAATTCGTATTTACAATGATTTGTGAATTTAATACATTAAAAAAAACATTTATTGTAAAATAATTATTAACTTATTTATTATTTACTTATTATTTAAAAAACGTTAGCTATATGTAAAATAATAATGTATAATTATAAATTTCTGTTATTATCTAACTTATTTTTACAGTACTAATTTCAAATTTTGTATATTTTCAAGTATTATTGTACAATACGCGTTAAATAAATTCTTCATTATTTATTATATTGTAATATATATATGAAATATGAAATATCATTATATAAAAAACAATCTCTCATTAATAAAGTTGATTGTGCTTATAAAATAAGTTAATACGTGACGAAGTTGTTACGAAAGATATCAAAAATTGTAATAAAACGATTATGTTTGTCCAATCCATAATTGGCTACAGATTATGGAAAGTAGATTAATTCTTGAATGAAGATAAGTTTAATAATTGCAACTAAATTTATACATATGCCTTTTGCGCTAATATCATTGATTCGAAACCATAGCTCCAACTATCGTGCAAATAATATGCATACTAACGACACATATACACAACACATTGACGATTTCATGCATATAATTGCACAAATGCGCAGCAATGGAGTGCACAGTGCTTTCGTCTAATGAATTTCGCTGGGAGAATGTCTAAGTGAAGGTGATTAAAGCCTGCACGTGATTTATGCAATTGAGATTTACGCGCACAACTATGTAGATTGTTTATGCGATTAATTACATGACCTATGCACGACGCAACACGTCCATGACTAAATTCTTGATTCATTTGTCGATATCCACAACTAACTATTTTTGTCTATTATACCTTCTTATACCTTTCATATTTGTGACATTTAATAGAGATCAATTTCAAATTTTACATCAATCAAATGTTTACAGCCTTCATTCAAGTCTTCATCTTCATACAAATATTTCATAACGTAAATTATCACGTGTTATTTATCGATAAAAGAGAACAACTTGATTGTTACTTTATTATTATTATAACTGAACTAATTAATTTTTAATTTTTTTGGATCTTATATAAACAAATACATACTTGAGTATTCGTGCAATAATATTATATAAATAATATATGTATTCAATAATATAAATTTCCCTAGACAATCAGTAAATTAAAATTAAATTTAATTAAAAATTTATATAAATAACTAATGTTTTTTAATTTAAATTATTGTTTTACTTTCTTTATTTTAATTTTTAATTGAACAATTATCTGTCTCATATATTTCTCAAATATTAAATATAATTAAAATTAAAAACATTTATATATCCATTATGTTTCAATTAATCACTATTTTAATAGATTTAAATTTAAGACTACCAAGTTTTACGTAATAGTCATGTATCTCATTTCTAATTTTGGTTACGAGAAATAATTCCATTGATTCAATAAAAATAATAAAAAAATAATGATAGTAATGTTATATTTTATTAGACATATAAAATATATTTTATTACTTCTATTGAAATATATATATATTGAATTTAATTTACTAATTCTTTTTAATTTAATTGATTTTTAACTTAATTTCTATATTTATATACGAATTTATGAAAATTTGAATCAGTTAATTTTACTAAAAATTAAAAGTTTAATATTTAGTAAAATTTAATTTAGAAAAATTAATCAATTGCAATGAAAAATATTGTTTTATACCATTATGTAAATACAATTGTGCGTGATTTTATATAATCGTATGGATATATTCATCAATTAGTTTGGTAATAGATCTATTTAAAAATTAGGAATTTAATAAATACAAAATAAAAGAAACTAAAAACAGAATAGAGCTGAAATTGTGGAAATAGTGTTGTTTAAACGACTGCATACTTTGAAAAGTTGTTCTGATCAAATTTTTGGGCTACGCCCAAAAAAGTGAATCTGCAACGTGCTATATCCATTTCGTCAACATTTCTCATCCTCTCTTCATTATATGTTTTTTCAGTTATGATATTACTTTTTAAACTCTGTTCTGAATGATTTACATTGGTTTGAACGAGTATTCTAACCTTCAAATTTTGCATTTATGATATTGTTGAATATTTAAACTTATTATAACAATTGACCTGATTTTTATTTGATCTGATTTATTTGATTTATTTGATTTGATCTTCTTTTTTATTTTTGATCATTTAGGTAGTCTATAATATTTAATATGATATTTGATCAGAAAATATTTATGAGAATATGATAAATGATAGCTACAAGAATGGAAAAATTTTCCTAAAGCTTTATAAAAAGTTATACGAAAGGAACAATCGTTGATAAAAAAGAATAAAACACAGAATGGCGCTTTTTTCGGATAAAAATTAATTTTATTGTAACGATTAAATGAAAAAAACTTCTTTTTATTGCGACATTGAAATGTGAGATCAAATTCAATGACTTCCAGACCAATGGAAGTACGAAATGAAGAGACAAATGGCTAGAAATTCGAATAGGGTATAATCGACAAAAATCGGAAGATACCTTAAATTATATTTTCTCACTGTTAATTTAAGTAGTTGATGAACATAAAAAGTATCATTGACACAACTATATTGTAATAAAAATTAAAATGGACACCTGAAATTCAAATCGAAGTTTTCAAATTCAAATCAAATGGAATACATATAAAACATTTAATAATATTTTTAATTCATTACCAAGAAATATTGCAGAAAAAGTATTATATTGCACAGTCCGATGAATATAATTAAATTTTGTAAGCTGTAACTTAAGTATTACTTTATTTATATTCATTGTACAATAAAGTTTAGTCTCTATTTTTAAAAGAAAATTTTTTATTCATGATTAAAATATGAATAATTTTATATTTTCCTTATTGCGAAATGTTTACAAAAATGCCATCGATATCTAATATCATTAGTACTTCCCTTATATGTTTACATACCTATTTTACGGCATTATTCATACAGATCGTGGAATAAAGGGCACGTAACGCGTTAAAGTAGCTCTTTTTGTTTACTTCATTTGTTTTTTCCATTTGTTTGTGCTATACGTTTTATAGAGCATTATTTAGTTTAAGGAGTTTGACATGTATATTTTCTAAAATTCCAATTTTATTCCAGGTTTTTATTGTGTATCTTGATTACTTTATTATGTTCACTTCATTCATGGATTATAGTTATTGAATTAGGATATTTTATAATATCTAATTATTAATTAAAATACATAGTATTTTATGTTCGAAAGCTGCATATTAATTTTTTGAAAAATTAACTGAAGTTAATTGATTTGGGTTGATGGTTAATGAATTTATACTAACAACATCATTACGGTAACTTCCACGTTCGGTGTTAAAATCAATTAAATTAGAATTATAAACAGTACATCTTATGGAATAGTAACATTCACTTTTGAAAATATTAAAATGATATAACGTCAAGAGCATATCAAATATATCTATTTTAAATAAGAATAATAGAAATAAATGTGAATATTCAATGCAAATATCTATTCATTAGACTGAATTATATATACTAGCACATATAGTTAATTTCATAATTATATTCGTATATTATTTTAACTTGTATTTCGTTTTAGTACTTCTATAAAAGATGAATTATTAGTAGCTCAAATAATTCAATTTTAATTATAAGCTCTAGAAAAAATTTTGAGTTAACAACGATGACAATTTGATTTAAATCAGAATGAAATATTTAAATCTGATACAATAATGAATTTAAAACTTTGAACAATTTTTATAGCAGTCTATTTAAATTTCAATATTAATTATAGAAGTTGTAATTAAATAATTAATATATAAATAAAAATATTATAGTAATTAAATACATAATATATCTTTTTAAAATAAAACAATTTAAAGCAGTGAATATATATAGTTATGCCATTGATGAAATATAACATATTTAAACTTAAATAAAGGATTTGTAGAAATATTGTTATAATAATATTGGCAAAATAATTTTATATTATGTTTTAACTAGTATTTTAATGTGCATGTTATAATTTATCCAGAAGCAATATAAAGGCATCACGATGTAGTTACTTATTTAATAAATATATAAATGTCATTAATATAATTTGAAGGAGAATAATTTTGTTTTATTTATACTATAATCTTTTTATGATAGAATGTAATAATTCTGAACATAATCAAATCTCTAAAGTTGAAATAAACTCTTTTTACATCACTTTATAATATCTTATTGATTTTATCAAACAATTTTTATTGTCCCTCCTTACCAATAACATATTAAAATTATTATTCTAAATAAAAAATACTAGCCTATTTCTAGAGCTGAATACATTTTAATTCGG